GAGGATGGCCCAAAGCCTTGGGACCCTGCAGCCACATGGGAGACCCGGAAGAGGCACCAGGATCCTGGCTTCAGATCGGCATAGCACTAGCTGTTGCAGGTGCTTGGGGAGTGAATCAATGGATGGAAGATCTTCCTCTCTGTGTCTCCTCCTCTCTGGATATCCGACTTTCTAATAAAAATAAAAATTAATCCTAAAAAAAAAAATCGGCTTTCTCCAAGGTGTCATGTTTTTCCCATAGACAGGAATTTCCTGTTAGTCCTCTAGGACTTGGGCAACCTCCCTCTGCTTCCCCAGGACATTAGGAGAGTGCCGAATCTTAACAAGAACAGCTGGAACATGACCCAACACCCCGAATGCTGCAGCTGCACCTACTGAGGACACAGCACTAGCTCCCAGAATTTCCTCCATCCTTTGTGGGCTGGGAAGCCAGGAACAGAGAGCAAAAGCCTTGCTTTGTCTTTCCACAGTGTCAGCAGAGCAGGCAAACAGCAATGTGCGAGAATGGCTAATGGTAGGTAAAAATTACAGTGAGTAAAATGGTTGTCAAATCTCTGGATACAGTAATAGTGATGGAGAAAACGCAACAGGTTCCTTTTGTGTATTTACTTGTGAGATTTATTTATTTTCAAAGGCTCACAAATAGGAAGAGATAGATACCTGTCAGCTGCTGGTGCACTCCCAAATGCAACGGTCAGCCCTGAGCCAGGCCAAAGCCAGGAGCCAGCAACCTCTTCCAGTTTCCAGCACACGTCCTGAGACCCACATCCCTGGGCCAGCCTTGGCCAGCATGTTAACAGGGAGTGGGATCAGAACTGGCACCCATATGGTATTCCGGAGCGTTCAAGGTGAGGAATCAGCCACTAGGACACTGCACTGGCCGCTCATGTAGGTTTCTGACACCTGACACGCACGAAGATGCCATGGTTAGAACACATCTCTCTTATTTGTGCCACTTTGAAACGATATCCCTGGGACTCTCCTGGAAACTGCCACCTGCAGGATTCGATGATGTAACCAACGCTATTGAAATCCTGGAGGCAACCCTAATGCTGACCATTGTTGAATCAAATGCAGCTCAGAGCATCCAGGCTTTGCCCAGGCCACATGCTGCTACAAGCCTCTACTTGGCTCTTTATTTACCAGGAGTGCTGACGTTTAATTTCAGCAATTTCTGCTAACATGAGCACCTGGATGTCCAAGAACAGCGGGAGTGAGCCGTCTCTCATTTCTGGATCTATAAAACTACAAACTGCTGCTGCTGTTACTGCATGTGCATTCATTCAAACCACCATTTACACACACAGGGCTGTGTTACGAAACCTCATCATCTGAGAATATCCTGGCTCGGTCCTGTCTGAAAGCCCAAGGAGCATCCCACATGCATATTTAAATCTTCCAGGACTGTGCACAGAGAATTTCTGAGGTTTTTCTCTGAGTACTCAGGCCAAAGCTGCATAGCTTCCCAAATCTGCATGCAAAGTTCCGGTCCTGGTCCAGGCTGGGTTCTTCAACCTGAGGTCATCGTCTCAATTGGGTCTCTCAAAGTGCAAGAAGGAGCTCCCACTCCTGGGGGAGATGCCTCAAGTGCCAGCTCACAGGTACCACAGGCCTCGGGGCTGAAGATTGAATTACATTTTGAAGTTAAAATCATTCTAAAAGGTAAATCCTTTTGTAAGAGGAAAGAATCTTTAAGTTCAACCTGCTCTGAAAACTTGGAAATAAACTGTTGCGAAATAATCATGCATTAGCAAAACACTCATCGTCAAGCAAGGGTCGGTCGTCCTGCGCACCATGTCACTGTGGGCATTTCCTGCGCTCTCCCTGTTTCTCCTTCCTTACAGACACACACACACACACGACAGACATTCTCAGATTGCAAGTACACAAAACAACATGTGCACCCTTTTTATAGCTCAATCGCGTTTTATACAAGGTACATTCCTCAAGGCAATCCAGTGGCACAGCCAACCTGGATGACAACCAAAAGCCATCATCATCTGTTACGTGTTGCCCTCAAACGTGGCAAGCTCAAACAACTCTTCCCACTGATACCACGGGGATCCACAGGGCTTAGCAAAGGATGGGTATGAAATCACAACTGTACACTGCCTTGCTTATTTCACCACTCTGCGGAAACAGCGCCAACAATCTCCTTTATCCGACGTGAAAGCTGAAACTTAAAATGGTATCTTATGCATCACAGTGATGACACTGCCCACAGGATGGAGTCTTGGTCAAACTCAGGTCCTCCTCACATCGTGACCAGTGTCACTTCTCATTGTTCTGCCACATTAACCCCCTGTATTAACCCCCCTGTATATATACCTGTATTTGTGTCTTTATTTAAGGTCAAGTTCCAGTATGGGCAGGCAAGGGAACGCCTGAACATTTAGCTTCACTCCTGAAAACTCCCTGTCCATGTATATTTTCCAAGATGCCAACAGAGCATGCTCGTTCTTTATTCCTTGCCTGAATTGGAGCACACTGCTGTTTTGTTTTGTTTTTGTTTTTCATTGAACATTAGACAAAGGAGCCGTATTCTTTTCAGAGTGCGTGGGATACAAGTATGTATTTTGAAATGCCAGAATCACTTCTAGAGAAGTAAAATACATCATTAAAGACCCAAACAAATGCAAATGACTGAACTGATCTCATGGGTTTTCCAGCCCAGCATGCACGGTGTATGCAAACTCACTCCACATCTCCTTTAAATTGCACATCCACCACTCTCCCCCAAACCCACACATACACGCTTCTGTTTCACTGGAGAGGAGAGAGGGTTCTTAAAACAGACGGCCTCATTTAAACTAACTGCATACATGAGCTAGTTTCATTTCAGTAGGAAGTGCACCAAGCACCTGTAGGTACAGGTTAAGTTGCTTCCTGTGACACTAGGATGTGTGTGAGCTCCCATACAAAGTCTGACCACTTCTGCTCCAACTCAGCTTCCTGCTAATGCTCCTGGGAAAGCAGCAGAGGATGGCCCAACTCCTTGGACATGTGGCATGCACATGGGAGATTCAAATGGAATTCTATGCCCTTGCCTTTGAGATGGCCCAGACCTGGTTCTTGAAGCCCGAAGACTTGTTATACTCTCTCACTCTCCAACTCTACCTTTCAAGAAAACACACACAGTGTGTGATATGTGATATGTGACTGGTCCACCAGAGCTTTCTTGCCTTTCAGCAGCACCTGCTTGTGTTGCAACATGCCCATTCTCCAAGGAAAGGTTTCTATGGGCAAAGTCTGCACCCAAGGTCAATGGCACTGACAACACGAGCTGAGGATTCAGAGGATGGTCTGAGCTTCTTCATTTACAAGAGATACGGGCAAACCCAGAGAACATAACAAACCCAGACATTTTCCCGAAACCGAATGTTCTTCCTTGAATCCACAGTCCAATTCCTTGGACACTGTGAGCCCTGTGCATGCTGGGACAGAATGGCACTGTTCTTTCTCAGCTTGGTTATTCACAGGGTGATGCACCTGTAGCAATTACCTAGTTCAAGGCAGCATATGAGTGTCATCTCCGAGATCATCCCTATCTTGCCTTTATCTTGGTCTTATCTGGTTCTACAGTGATACTTCAGATAGAGCTCTAAGTTAACTTCCAGTCTGTTTATCACCAAAGCAGGATTCAAGGTAACAAAAAAAGGGCTAAAAAATGCAGCCATTACAAATAATTTAGTGTTTCACTGGGGATTTACCAAACTAGGTGTGAATAACATCCATAAATTGCACTATGTCACAACACTAAAGTTATTTTCCTAATTACAGACCACACCAGACTTACTCCCCTTGGAAACCAAACCATCACGGCCAAGGTGCGCGAGGGAAACAGACACAGTCTCCTTTTAAACGTTTCAGTGGAAAGACAGGAGGAAAAGTGGGAGAATCCTCTAGAAACTTAAGACCAAGCCAGGAGAGCACAGGACATTACAGGACCAAAAACAATGTTGATGTGAAACTTCCCAACTGACACAAGCTATCTTTCCATTCATGTAAAGATGAACAGTATCTCAGGGGTAACAGTGGGGTAAGAATGACGCAGATGTCAGTCAGCTTCTGAAAATGCAGCTTATGGTGACAAATCGAATTAAAAGCGCAATATCTGCAGACAAACTCAAGTTCCCTTGTTTCAACAGCCACATCCAGACACGGCCCCCAGAATGAAGCCTTGTCTGTTCCTGAAAACCACTTCTGTTTCTCTCGCCTTGGTTGACATGCAAAGTCACCCATGTTTGGCAACAGCAGTCTGAATTGGACCTAATCTGTGCAGACAAAACTGAGGACCTGATTTCTATGCAAGAATTTCATGATGATACACAAATACTTATACTTTCTTCCATATTTCCACACAAGGACACCCGGAACCTCAGTATAATCTCGAGGATGCCTACGTCTGAGCGTTGTGTCAAGTTCGTCATCTACGCAATGGGAAGGAGCAAAACCAACATCAACCTGTTATGTTCAACCTGAGAAAGAAGTACGATAAAAGAATCCTCTCCAAGCGCTAGTGAACAGCACTGTCCGTCTCCAAGTGTAGAACTGGAACGGCTGCCCACCTGAAGGCAGCCTATGGCTCAGATACTTCTGTTTAGGCCACGTTCATCAGACACCTCATTGTTTTTCTTCCAATGCAACAGCACTGTGATTGGTTCCCATAACTGTAAACAACTGTTCTCATTTTCAAGGATAGAGAGCAGGAGCAGCATGGAGAAGCCCTTGCAGCCGCATTGCTCAATGCTTCATATTACAGGCTGACATCTGCCCTGGTACAACTGAAGGGACTTCAGCATCATAACATCAGAAATCTCTCCCAAAGCAACAAGTGTTACAAATGAAGACTACAGAGAGATTCCAGAGGATGTGAGGAAACAGAGCCAGGGCAGGCTGCCGATAGGCTTCGTTTCCCTTGCTTACCCGACGCTTAGAAGGAACCTTCAGGGTGAGGGCATACCAAGAGCATAAACAGAAGCAGTGCAATGTCTTCCTACCTGCCTCTTTGGAAATCTGCGTGAAGGATTCCACACCTTTCTCTCCATAGCTTCCTTCAGATGCCAGAGTTGACACGTAATTCCAGCCCAGGGCCTTCACAATGTCGACCATGGCCTGGGCCTGGAAGGAATCGGGTGGGACCACACGGGAGAAGAAGTCATAGCGCCGGTCGTCACTGAGCTCGGGTGCTGTGGACGCATAGCTGATCTGAGGGATCTGAAAAGACAAGAAGGCGCCACGTGATCACACTGCCTCATGTACATCCCAACAGGTGACTCACAACAGGCCTCACCGCCAAGGGGACGTGAGCATCGTCACACACTGCCTCACATAGAGGTCACGGTCCTCTCCTCAAGATGAAAATGTGGTCCACTGAGCTCTGTCCCTTCATTTTCTCCTTTAGTGACACGGAAAGAAGTTTTCATGGTAGCGTCAACATCAGGGTCATGGTTTGGTAGGAAGAAAAAGGTGTATAGCCATTCTGCTAAATATTATGGATAACACCTTAGCTTTTGTGACCGGAACAGAATGCATCGACCTAGCTGCAATGAAAACAGAGATCCAATCGGATGACACATTTGTGACTTCTCTGGTACATCGCCACCCTTGCTAAGTAGACTGCAAAGCAACACTCCGTGATGAGTGACAGGTGGACTGCCATCTGTTCTTCACAGTGCACCTAAGTGACACCACGAACTCACTCCCTTGTGCAGCCATGGAGGAACCAGATTAGGAAACCGACTTAGGGTCTAAGTTGAGGACTGAGAACTCATTCCCTCTGTACCTGTTGTCTCCACTGCAGTAAGCAGAAGCCTGTCGGGGTGTGGTGAATGTGCAGATACAATCACCTCCAATTATACCCAGCTTGATTTGCACCTGCCTTATTACAGCAATTCCTCAGGGGTCTAAAAGCTTAGCTGTGTTCTTAGCTTGATTCTAACAGGTCAAAGGTAGTCTCCGGTAGACTTCCTGAGCCCTCAAAATTCTAGTAAATATTAACTCCTTCCTGTGTAGTTTGTCTAACATGTGCTCACTTATGACTGGTTAAGTTTGGTTACATATCTGTAAGGATTACTTGCTCACCAACTTTGCAGGACAAACACAGCAAGCTTTCTCTTCAAGGATCTACAGCCTTTAGTGGTGTAGTTCTGGCTGTGACCACTAGGGGCAGCTCTCTGCCCCTGAATCAGAGCCTAAATCCAGTGTAAGACTACATGTACCTGGAAAACCTCTGGATGTCAAGGACAACAGAGAAAGGAGACTTGGAGCTTGATAATTTGCTTTACTAATGCTTATTCCAGTGATTTCTTCTCACTTCAGCGGTCTTGCAGTGTCACACATGATGCTCTTACAGGCAGGGGCCGGAACGTGTTGTTCCCAGTGTGGTGTCTAGTACGGAGGAGGCGGCATTTCCCACACGGCGGTGGGGGCGGGCAAGTCATCAAAATGCTCAGCGGAAACAGACTGCTCTTTCCTCCGCGCTTCGCCTGCCATACTCCAACCACGGATCGTGCAGCTTACCTAAGTCACGGCACTACCTCTCGTGTTTGTATCGCCAAGGCCCAGAAGTAAGGCCTACCAGTTTTCCAGCTCTGGATGGTATGTTGCTTTTTTCCCAAAGTCAAGCTCCACTCACCACCAACAAACTCAGGCCCACACACTCTTTCCTGCTGTTAGTTTAAGAACAAGAGCTTCGAGCCTGGAAGTCATGACCCCGCATTTTGTCAGTAAGCTGTGAAACAGAGCGATGTGCCTTCGCTGGCGGTCACCACACTGACAACACAGTGTGACAAAGTCAGTGTGCTGCCTGATCTTCCATTATGGTTCCAACATTTCATGTGAATGCCCTGGCAAAACTTCTAGAGATACCTAAACAGCGAAACATCGATGGGCCAGTTACCATTTGAACTATTAAGATTTAGGGAAAGAAAACCCAACAGAGGCTATGGGCAGAAAGAAAAATAGAGGGGTGGGTGGAAATGTAAGCCCTTCATATGCTACGCAAAGGCCCAGATCCTGCCCAGAGTCCCTTACTAGTTTTGAACGGGTGTTAATGAAGACACATCCAGCCTCAGGCTTGCGTTTCCATTCCTGCAGCATTGTGCAACACCAGCCTCATCAGGTTCCCCAATACAAATCACTTTCCAGACTGCGTGCTGCAAGTTCCAGAAATGAGAAGCATGGCCAAACAGATTTCTCCTCTCATCAAAGCACACACTCTGAAAATGATTGCTCTCAGCGGCCGACTACTTCCAGCGCCAATCAGACACAGCTCTTCGCTGAAGAGTCAGCTTTCCTTGGGATCATGCACGCAGCCCGTGTCCAGAAACACTTACTTCTATATTATGTATATCGCACTGCAGATTGTTTGGAAAGGGAATGCAATGTCCAGTGAATTCGCGTTTCAAATTAGGCTTTCTGAGCCCCTCCTTCCCTATCGTCAAAGGCTAGGACTGAAATGATTTATGAATCTCAGACAAGAAGCTGGGTATTTACTAAGCTACTTTGCTTTATATTTAGTATGCAAACTCATCTTTAGCCTGACACAGTAATTATTTTGTGCTGTGTATTACAACTGTCACATAGAGCTTATCAAATGACATTTGCCATTTTTAGCAATTAACTTCCACACTCTCCTTGCGCCTACGCTGTAATTTCTTTCTGCTCTGGAAGCCCTCCCTTCTTGCCTGACTTCTATGGAAATGGAGAATTGATATCGAAAGACAGCAGAGTAATAACATTTCAGTATTACAAAAATAGAGAACTATCTCTTACTTAGCCTTCTTTGCCGAGTTAAAAATATTTTATATCAAAAACAAAGGAAGAAGCAAAGAAAAGGGGAGGAGGAGGAGTCATTCTTAAAATTGTGTCCAAGAACTACACTGAATCTGTTTTCTTGGTTATATAAAGTTAACCTGAATATAATTCATAAAACTGTTAACAATGATAATGACCAAGCTTGCATGCTTTATTATTCTTTTCTCTTTTTATCTTTTATATGAGTAGTGTTAACAGTGTCAGGCAGGACTCAAAGCCTTTAACCTATGCTGTATAAACTGATGGTGTTGTTTTGCAGAGACAATCAGCAAAACGTTTCGTGAAAATGTAGAGAACAACTATAAGGTAATCTTCTAAAGAGTTCTCAATTTCAGAGAGAGGAAGAAACAGAGAGACCTTGCATCTGCTGGCGTGCTCCATGACTGCTCACAGCAGCACCCTGAGCTCAGTCCGGGTCTGCCCTCTGGCTGAGCCAACACAGAGACATGCTCTGAACCTGCCGATCCCCACAACAGCAGGGAGCTGCATCAAAGGAAGAATAGCTGGGACTCAGAGTCACACTTCAAGTTAAGGGTGCAGGTGTATCAAATGACTGCTTGCCTTACCGCACCAAGTGGACACGTCCAGTAAGGGCATTTTAATACCAGACCTCTTGCAAAATTTCTTTTTCTAAGCATTGCTATCAACAACGGGAGCTACCCACATTCCTGTCCTCTCTGGTTCTAACAGCGGTCTGCTGTGTGGACATTTACCCTGCCCAAACCTGACCACCAATGCCATGTGTGTGAACCCTTTTTCCAGTTTTCACTTTTGTGGCAAGTCAAAACAGAATCTTCAGAGCACAACATTCTGCACACACCCATGAACACGGTGTTCATGCTAAGCTCAGGCCCATTTCCCCAAGGTCGACGGTGTGGACTTGAAGTGTAATGAAGTCCCACCATTCGCACCTTGTCTCCTTCAACAGCTCACTACTTGCCCCAACACCGTTTGTTAAATTAGGATAATTTGTTGAAGGACATGATGATGGTACATTACTAGCTGTATGAAAGTTACATGATAGTTATACATTAGTGTAGATGGAAATGCTATATTTACAGCATTTTATAATCCTCCACGTGGAAATACCTGCTTCAATTTCCTCTGTTTTATGTTCTTATTCCCAAAGTCTTCTGATTGCCTCCAGGTGAGCCTTGCTCATAGTTATTTCTAAATAACAGCTATTTTCCATTTCATTACACATGAGATAAAAAGTTCATTTTGTCATCTATTGCCAGTATATAGTTTATTAACTTTTATATATCTGCTGTGTGACTTACACCCTCGTTAAACATTTGTATTAGTTCTAATTGCTTTCAGTTTAGTTTTTTTTTTTTGAGCTTGTCAGCTATGAAATTCTTAGCAGAACAATTTAGTCTTTTTTGTAATTACATCAGCTAGGATTTTGAGAAAAAAACAGAGATGGTGCGTAATGTTGCTTTTCCCTCGTCCTCTCGGTGTACGCTTAAAACCAACACAGAATCCATAAATTCTTACCCCGAACCAATCTGCTGCCAACACAGGTCGTTGTCATCACAGACGCAGACTGGTACGCCAAGACACCAAGGTCAAGCCATGCCATGGACAACGTAATGGTCCTAAGGACATACATACACCAGCTTTCACTTCTTTGCATGTAAGAGCTGCCATGCTACACACTGTGATGTATCTGACGACACCTGTTGGGTTTCTGTGTCATTTCATCAATCAGGGTGTCATGACAGCACACAGGGATGAGGGTCCCTCACAAGGCACACAGCTGGGGCGTAGCACCCACAGAAGATCGCCAGATGGGGTGTAGCACCAACAGAGCATCGCCAGAGGCTGAGTTTCAGAACACTGTGAAGCAGGCAGCTCCCCAGTTCCAGTCTGTCTCCCTTCATTCCACCTGCACCTTTTTCTCCCACTACAGCTCTTCCCTCTAATTGCTTGGAGTAACTCGCCACATCACATACTTCCTATCCCACAGCACCGTCTTCCTACCACTCCTTCTCTCTTGAGGAAAGAGCAAAAACAAAAACCCAGATATTCCATAAGGATTTTGCACGTATTCACGGAAAACCCTCTCTACATACACTCACCACAACCTCTCTCTTCTCTTCTAAAACCATTTTATTTATGCGATTTTACCAGAGATCCATGCCTAGAATTATTATCCTTTGATTCCTGCCCCAAACTCACACAACAGCCAGGGCTGGGTCAGTCAAGAGCCTGGACATCCATTTTGGTCTCCCGCAGGGCAGCATGGACTTGAACGATTCAGACACCGCCTGCTGCCTCCCAGGGCATGCATGAGCAGCATGCTGACATGGGAAGAACAGCCTGCCTCCAATCCAGGCTCTCCATCAGAGGATGTCAGGTTCCCAAGTGGCATCCAAACCACGTGCCCTTCCTGTCTG